ATACAGTCTGAGTAGACGTCCTTAATTTTGAACTGATAGACTAATACAGTCTGAGTAGACGTCCTTAATTTTGAACTGATAGACTAATACAGTCTCAGTAGCTGTCACTAATTTTGAACTGATAGACTAGTACAGTGTTGCGCAAACGTTTTTATAGCACTCACCTTTCTAGAGTCTAAACATGCGTTTTGTTACACACACTACCCCCAGTCATTTTCCCATGTTAATTATTATTGCTATATTACTTAATAGCACTAATATTTGTATCGTAGTTCTTAAAGCTTCTTTATTTTTACCTTCAGGTGAAACCTGTATGTTTCTACAGTCATAGTTGGGGGTCACGTCCCACAGTTTGCGCATCAAGGGACTAGTAGAAAAGTAGCTAGTAGTAGCACCTACTGCCACTCTTGTGCTACTCTAATCGAATAGTAGAATTTGACCTTCGCTATTTTAACGTACCATTATGAAGATTGCAAGTTTGCAACAACGATACGCGAACCTTGGCCCCCGCGGATTCAGAGTCCGGCACACTAACCACTAGCCGCGCTTGGCCAGTTTCAAGGGTCGCCTCATAATGTTGTATGACATTGTTTCACAATTCCTATAAATATTATTCAGTATATAATAATTTAAGGCAAAAATCGACCATTTCAGTCTAATTGCAATTACTACGTAGAGAGAAGCCTGACAACCACCCATATATTTCTGTGTTTCTATTATACAATAACGGGCCTGGCATGTGAACCTCATAGCAACAGACTTGTAAGACTAAAGACAGCCTTTCCAGTGGGCATGGCTGGGAGGTTAGGGCGCTTCATTCGTAATCTGCTGGTCGCGGTTTCGAATCCCCGTCCAACCAAACATGCTCGCTCTTTTAGCCGTGGGGGCGTTATAAGGTTACAGTCAATCCCACTATTCGTTGGTAAAAGAGTAGCCGAAGAGTTGACGGTGGGTGGAGATGACTAGCTGCCTTCCATTTAGTCTTACACTGCTAAATTAGGAACGGCTAGCGCAGATAGCCCTCGTAGTAGCTTTGCGCGAAATTCAAAACAAATCCAAACCCAATATCGTCCGTTCGTGGGAAGAAACAAGTTGTTTGTTGTATTTATTAATTAGTAAATGTTAAAGCGAAATGTGGCATGAGTCATAATATAGGTTTATAATCTATATGTTGTATGTCCATGTAACTATTTCGCCCTCTGTTGATGGATCATCACCAAATTTGTTATGAAGGTTTGTTGGGTCCATTCGGAGAGTTGCGGTTTCACATTTCGTGTTTTCCAGTTTTTACGGGCGTTTTTGTGTTTTTTACAATTTCATATAAGGGAAGCATCTTTTCAGGTCCTAAGATAACCTTTCGTTAATCATGAATTTACACAACTTCAGTCCAGAGGACGAGTAGTCCAGGTAGTATAAAACTAAATTTCTGGAAGCAATTTTTCTAAATGACAGACTGATGCTTAGAATGTTACAAAAGCTTTTACACGCATAGAATTGGACGAGTTTCTTTGGAACTAGAAAACATTCACTCTACTCTTTACGCGATTTTTGACTACTTCTTAAAAGGAAATGAAAATATTTATTATTTCAAATATTGTTAAACGTGATGAAATACTGTTTTTAAGAAAAAATTTAGTACGTATATAACAACACAGTGGTATTTGTTAGGTATTTAAAAGCATAAAAATGTTACATGCTTCTTCGAGAGTTGTGAATTTATTCTTTAATGATCTATTAATTAAAGAACTGTGAAAGTTTATGTGCAATATAAATTTGAAACGAAATGGTAATACTTTGAATAAATTTGATTGATTAATCTTTTTATTCCTGAATTTAAATGACTTTGGTGAGTACAACGGCAAGATGTAGATGGCAGCACTTATAGAATTGGTAGCAAAAATTTCTTAATGTATGGTTGCTCATTTTCAGTTTGTCAAATAAATCTTATATATATGCTTTATGCACATTAGAACCAGCTATTTAGTATTCAATAGACTGTTAGTTTAAATTATTATGTATTTACTAATCCATAAGATTTGTTTTATTTATGGATGTTAAACGCTTTCAAGTCTTGATTTAGCGCTTTCGAAGACACTTTGTTTTCCGTCTCGACTTGATATTTGTTTTTAGCGCAAAGCTATACAATAGGCTGTATGCGCTCTGTTCATTACAGGGATCGAACCCTAGATGTTAATGTTGTAACTCCACACATTTATCGCTGACCCACTAGGGCCCTCGATGGGCGTTACATCTATAGAAAATAAAAATTCTAATTGAGACTTTATATCTGAATTTAATTTTTTTCGCATGCAAAGGAATCGCTTATAGTCTAACCATTTTTAATCTGTACATGGGATTCTTTATGTTTAAAAGCTTTGACTTATAAATAAAGCTAAAATAATTTTTTCATATATGATTGTCTGTTTTTTTATGTCACTTTTTAACTTTTAGGGAAAGTGATTGCATTTGAAATGTTTTTTTTAATATAGTTAATGCAGATTTCAATTCTAATAACCCTGAAGACATGTCGGGGATTTAATAGTATTTGTTATATCACCTTTAAATGTTGTCCCTTGGTAGCTCAGCAATAAGTCTTAAGGTTTATACACTAAAATGCACATTGGGTTTCGACACCTACAGTTGGCAGAGCACATCTAACCTATTATGTAGCATTGTGCTAGTATCTAATAAAACTTAAAATTATTTAATATATGAAATTAAAAAAAAAACATTGGTGAACCATTCAATTAAACATAAGTTGTTTATGCATGGATATATATATAATTATATCATTCACTAGCGTTGGCTAGATTAAATAACTTAACCCGTATTTGATAAAGTTTTAAGTTGTTTATGCATGGATATATAATTATATCATTCACTAGCGTTGGCTAGATTAAATAACTTAACCCGTATTTGATAAAGTTTTAAGTTGTTTATGCATGGATATATATATAATTATATCATTCACTAGCGTTGGCTAGATTAAATAACTTAACCCGTATTTGATAAAGTTTTAAGTTGTTTATGCATGGATATATAATTATATCATTCACTGGTGTTGGCTAGATTAAATAACTTAACCCGTATTTGATAAAGTTTTAAGTGAATGAAATTAACATTTTTAACTTTTTGTTTTTAATTTATTGGGTACTGTGTTTATAAACTACAAGAAAATAGTTAAGTTACAATAGTTATCCTATTTTTGTTGCTGTGAGAAATATTGACGATATGTGCCATACGAGACCGCGATTCATTCCTGTTGCTTACTTGTCACGAGCTTTTTACAAAATGGTTTGTGAGGCCTATTTGTATAATTATTTTGTCTATTCCTTCATATAGTTGCAAGGAGGCGTTTTCACGAGCAAAATATCAAAAACATTTCATTGTGCCGTTCCCAAGACAACACGCGTTTTTTCTGTTTCAATGTACATGCTCTGCAACAATGGGAAACTATAAAAAAAAATTTTTTTGAAGAACAATAAGCTCAGGAAGTTGCAACATACGTGAAGCGCTTGCGGACATAAATGACCAATAAGTAATAATTCATGTACCCCCCTCCCTCCTCCTATATTACATATGTGCCTGTCTTCACCGACTTCAAGCGCAATCATAAGCTTCGGGCCATCTCGAAATGGGTAAAATCCTCCGATCGCGAGTAGCATTTATTCAAGAAATTCAACCTGAACGTCATTTTATAAATGCTTGGTCATAAACCTACTAGAATTTGTGCCTAATTTTAAACTACTCACCAGAGAAAAGGCAGCGAGTCAGCAGCACCTTCTACCACAATACTCTACAAAACTAAAAAAGGGACTGACAGCCACTTTTGTTACACACTCACAGCCGAATATGCACTTCTCGTTTAGCGGTATCAATTCTCAAATCACTGACCCTTAAACCGTAGTCCAACATGCTAACCATCGACCATGACCGGACCCGTATTAGTTTTAGTAGGAAATCGTACGATTATATTAACTATTTTAGAATAATTACTATTAAATAACCCGATATTTATTGATGGGACAATAAATAAAGGAAATGAAAGTTAGAAATATATATTTTTTAAATTTCGGACATGTTTTTATCGATGTACGGAGGAACATTTTTGTTTATTTAATCACAACGTTTCATCCGATTTTTCAGACATCAGGTGAGATACACGAACTGAGATTAATAGAAATTAATTTAAAATAAGAAAATAAACTTTTATTATTCGGATCGTGAGTAAAACTGCTAAGGTGAACATGATTTGTTGAAATTCAGAACAGAGACAATGTCTTAAAAAAGCAGTTTTATTTAACTCTGTGTGCAAACCAACCAACCAAAACAGAACGTAGGACCGCATATAACATCTTACACGGCAAACCAAGAGACCATCATACTTCTTCAAATTATATAGTAAGCATATGAAAAAAACAAAAAAAAACATAACATAAATCCGAGTTGGATACATTATTATAGTCGAATATTTTTCTATGTAAATATCGTAATTTCTCCCCCCCCCTCATGAAACCTTTCTCATGATATGTAACGTTGCAATTATATTCTACGTGATATACATCAGAATAAGTACTATGTATAAACCACAAGAAAAGGTAACCCAAAGTTGGAGATTTTAAAAACAAACAATTAATATGTAAAACAAAACATATAAAACAAGGGTCATTCAAAGATAACGTTAGTATGTTGCTCATTAGCTTATAAATTCCTGAGAAACGCGTTTCCATGAGGTACGTATTCACCTACGTTAATTAAAATGTTTAAATCCAAACTCTCCTAAGTATTAAAAGACTTCGACCATTGTATGTAGCCTAATTCATACAAATCAAATGCCACAAAAAGAAAAGATATTGTAAAACAAAAGTGAAATTATCAACTTTACGAATGTCTTTTTATACATGTTATTTAATGCTCATCACATAGCCACTACGTTTAGTAATCAAATAAAATATATTCAACATTCAAAAACAGTAACTCTAACCCATGATTTTCTTTTCCCAATCTTTCAGCGATATGATATTGTTTATTGTAGTAAAGATCCTATAGTAAAAATTAATGTAAAAATTAAAGTGTGTTCCACATTGTATTTGAACCTTTCTTTGGTTCTGTATTATTATTTGCTTTAAAACAGGGTAAATATCATTTTTCTAAATTTTTAAGTATTTAAAGCATTAAAACACGGATGTTTTTTTGTTGCTCTTTAAGGCAAGTTTTCGAAAGTGCACACGTATTTTTTTGTCTAAAACTGTGTAGTTAGGAGAAAGGTTGTCATCTACGTATGTGTACAACTCAACATAAAGTTACAATTCTAAGACTTATGGAAGTGAGAGAACTACCAAAATAAAACTATTCTAGTGAAGTATTAGGAAGATGGAAAAAACTACAATGTCACAAACTTTTAAGTAATATCTGAACTTCTTCATTATAAAACTAAAGCTAATAAATTATTGCTTTATTCAATGACTGGTAAACAAAACTAAGTTTTTGGTCTGCGAAAGGGTTCATAACAAAAGTGGATATGACACGTACAAACTTTTTCAAAGCATGCACAGCATATCTTTCATAGCATAAAATCGACAGAAATTGGTAGATTAAAAACAGTGGCTAGCGTAAGTCATTCTAGGTAAATCTGTAACATTAAGAATTTAAGCATAAACTATATTAATTTCATTTTGAAAATTATCTTTACAATACTCACTTCATGTCAGTAAACATCTCGTGCTTTTGTAACGCTAAGAATGCGACCTTAAAATCAAAAACTCTCTAAAATGGTTAATCTCGTTTTTACACGCACACACAAATGAAACTAGTTTTTTTTAAGGCTCACTTAACATCATTCGTACTAGAGAAAAACAACTTCAGGCAAAGTTAAGTTTGATGATTTTTTTTGTCCTTCAGAAAGACATGATAACAGACTGAATTAAGTTTAAGACAAGTATTTGAAAAAGGTAAGGCGTGGATAAGAAGAAAAAAAAGGACACAAAAACGATAGTTTCTGGTGATGCGTTATTGTGGCATAAAAAAATCAACGTTCTTGAGGAACATGAATTTTTTAAGTTTAATGTATGTGAATATCCAAGTTAAAATACTAAATGAATAATACGTCTTGAAAAAAGTTTATATGACATTAAACATTTGAAAAGGTTCGTTTACAAAAATGACTTAAAAGAATTTATGTGGAAACATACGAAATCACGTAATTAATGACAATATTTAGCTTTCCATTAACATGTGAAAACAAAACGGGGAACAAACTTCGGCCTCCGAAATCAGTGACCACAAGGTGAAGAACTACACAACTTTCCAAAGTTTAAGTACCGATAATAACAAAAACCTATAGCACAGTATTATCACAAATTTCAACACAAAATGTAAAACCACAAAGAGCATAGAGCAGTGGTACATTGTTTGGACTGTTTGCACGAATTCATGAACAGCATTCTTGATGTTATTCAGTTTAATTCAATTTTCATTGTAGTTACACGTGTACACAATTTCAGTCTGTCCTCTCCTTTTTCACATTGGTTTCATTGCAGTCTTGCTTCACTCATAATAACTAATTGAGACCCGAATCTGTAAAAAAGAAAGCTCTAATTTCTTTTTGTTTTGCAGCAAAGAATATATATACTCTTGGAATGTTTCACTATACATGCCTGTAACCTGATTGAGTTCATTACAGGCATTTCCCCCAAAACATAAATATGGCAGCAGTTATGGAAGCGCTTCTGAAAGCTCTAGTAGAACAGAATCAATTAATGGGCCATAATAATAATCCGAAGAATCAATGAGGCTCCATTGTCACTTCTCTTTTCCCAAAAATATACGCACTCTGACTAGGATTCAGTATATTGATAGGTATAAAGGGCACTACGATCAAAAGGTAGTCTATGACAGCACGAAGCCCCAAAAGAATATCTTAGAAATGAACATCTTGAATGTCGGTTGGAGTAACTGATTTAATGTTTTCAAGATCCTCCACACTTACTAATTTGTTCGAGTTTTTCACGGAAGAGGGCACCACTTGGGCAACTTGTGTTGAGGTTAAGTTTAAATTTAGCATTTCCTCGATTTGTTCCAGGCAGAGCCGAAGACAATCCTATAAAGAAAAACAAGAAACGATACAAATATTGTTTAATGTTCATCACACAAGTCAGAAATATTGCCAGTGTAAAGCACATAAGCAAAACTCTTCATACCTTCCTACTTGTTAGGTCATTCCAGTGTTAAACAAAGATATATAACATAACAAAACCTAATGTGATTAATATTTAAAAAAATCACGGACGATAACGGTAATATTATTTCCAAAGAAACTATGTACAACATACGCGCAATCTGATTTTATACAGTTTATTAAAATGTATTAAAACATATAATCATAAGTACTTTAAAACCTGAGTGCTTTTATACTGCAAGATTTTCTAAGCTTTCTGCACTGATGATAGAGAATCCTGTTCTGTTCAAATCCTATGCACATATTTATGTTTTCACCTTCAGATTCGAACGTTTTACAAGGATGGTAGCTAAGAGTCACTGAGAATTAATGTTTTATACCAAGGATGGTAGCTAAGAGTCGCTGAGAACCAACGTTTTACACCAAGGATGGTAGCTAAGAGTCACTGAGAATTAATGTTTTATACCAAGGATGGGAGCTAAGAGTCGCTGAGAACCACAGTTAAAAGACTATCTGCCCTAACAAGTATCTATGTTCTACTCGTCACAGGATAACAAAATCATGAAACTTTAGAAAAATCCTGGGTACACGGTGTTTAAGGGTTCATTAAAATTAGTCCACTATTACTTGCATCTTTCGTAAATACTGATAGATAACGTGATAGTTATGTTTTTAGGGGGTTTACTTTAAAATCTTATCCATAACGTCTGAACAGAGAATATTACTTACATCGATCAGACCTAAGAAATAATCCAGTTATTAATCTGAAGCTACGTTAACGCGCCGGTTTACTAAAAGTATGCAATATCATACAGCAACAATTTAGGTTCCCTCGCTGTTATCGATATATGCAAACGTAATGTAAAGCGCCTTTCGTTTTTACTTGTAAATAAAATCGTTACTTCAATTATAAAAAAAATATCTTTTAAAACAAGTAGGTTTTAATATATTCTTTTACCTAATAAATATTTTCAAGAAATCAGTAACAACCAAATTTTCAATTTTTCGTATTTAGAATTTCATTTCTAAAATTAGCCATTATATATTTAAGAAATAAAATGGTTAGTAATTAACCACCAAGAAGCATTAATTTCCAAATAAGCAGTTCTTGGGAAAATGTTATTTGACATGTAGTACCTTACATTCACAGCTCCACCAAGTTATGTTTACTCATAACTAAATCCCCGAGAAACAAAGGGAGGGAGAAATAATCGTACCACCCGCCTGTTTCCTGCTTCCATGAATTCCACACAATGCCATTCTGCCTGATTTGGCCAAGGAACTTTGATCATGGAAGAATGCCGATTAAATTTACCACAAAGGACACACTCGTCGCTTAGGCTTGGTTTCCTTTCGAAACGGCAAAACGTAGGAGGCTCACTTAAGAAATAAGTTAGACAAGTATGTAGGCTCCTGATAGCGACATAAAACAAAACACAAAAAGAAATGGTTGGAGTTTTATGGATAACAGTATCTCTTCTTTAACCAATGTTACTAATATTGTAACAATTGTCAAACTTCTCAATGTCATCTCGCCGGAGTTATAAACTATTTGAAAACTCCAAATTTATAAACACCCAACGTGTAATGGTTTACTCTAATAGACAATTTTTTCACCATCTTTCTCTGACAATTTATCTTTGATAAACTATTGAATATAACAGAGGTTAGGTATTAGAAAGGTTTATTATTATTAATAACTAATTTAGTGTTACGAGTTGTAAAGAACAAACTAAATTGAAAGCAGTAAATGTTGAATAGTTTGTTGTTTATTAAATACAAGAATGAGGTAAAAAATAATCAGTTTTATGGTAAAGAAAGAAGGGATGCATTTGTTTTCTCAGGACGTCATTAGAACAAAGTGAAATACTGGTTGTATATAAGCGGTAGTAAACACGTGGAAGATTTCAGTTAAATGGTGTCCAAGGACAACAAGATGGAATCAAGGCCCAGCAAGACACACTAAATCAGTTGGTAGCCACGGATAAAAGAAAACAGGGCAGAAAACTTTACTGGGAATGAGAAAGGAATCTGAATAAGAAGAAAGTCTGTAGTAAGCTTTAAAGCTGCCGAAACAGTCCGTCTTCCCGCTAATGTTTCGAATGATGACAGTTATCCTGCATGCCGTGAAGGTGTACTATTTTGGTCTGTGACCCCCAACTCAAAATCTGGGTGGGGCATATTCCCGGCCCTTTCCAGTTTCTTTGTCAAGGAGCAGTGGGTAATGAATAAAACGTGTCATTAGGCCTCCCACTACAGACTTCCTTCTCCATTCCCGTATCTGTGTAGCTTTGCCTTAACGAGCAAAAAACATGAAAGTTCGGAAGTAGAGAAGTATTATCCAAGCGAACAAACACGGCAACGGTATGCAAGCGTTTATAAAGTGCGTCATATTCCTCTATCATTTCTCAGGCTGCAATGCATTGGGTTTGGGTGTCCCCCTCCATCAAACACCCTCTTTTGTCTGTACTTACCACCCATGACGAAATCTGATTTTTCTGTCTCAAACTAAAAGAAAACTATGGAAACGGGTTCTTGTTATTGCACGTATCAAACTAGAGCTGCTCCACTGGCAGCAGCATCACATACTAGAGCTGCTCCACTAGCAGCAGTATTACATACTAGAGCTGCTACACTGGCAGCAGTATCACATATTAGAGCTGTTCCACTACCATCAAACCATCACAAACTTCCAAACCCTTAAACTACAACTGTTTCAACAACACCAAGATAACAGTTTCAATACGAACTATTATGTTTACAATTTTATATGATTTACTCGATTCAAATGATTTAAATAATGCGGGAAGTGGAACACGATGTCATGGTATCACCATTTTGTTTGGTCAAGAAATAACAGAGTTCTACTACCACTCACAATATCATACGGAATATTTATGGTAACTAAACTGTGCATATCATAAATTTTATCCCTAACTTAACTATATTTACGTATTTAAATTATAAAATTAGCATTAATAAATGTAATATGATAACTATTAGAGAATAAATAGGCGGAAAAATTCATCTCATCAAAATAATCTAAATGTGCAACGTTACGAGAGAACACTTTTGTGCAGACCAGACAGCCATAATTTGTTCAAAACGTTGCACAAGAAAGAAATATTAATACGATTATTTTGCCACGTATTTACTCTCTCATTGTGTATTTAAAATGGATACACATACACACACACACACACATGCATTAAACAGCAAGTATTACCACTTCAATGCCCAATATTTGGTGTAGCCTCGTCAACAGCTCCTTCTGAGAAGACCATTGTTTGTCTACCCATAGCAAGCCTTGTACCGCTGCCCCAAAACTAGCCGCTGCTATCATTGAGGGTGGATACATGGAGAATTTGAAGTCTGGTAGAGGAGAAAAAAATCAATGATAAATATCACAGTAGGACATCATATTACGTACATTTCAGGTACAATTAATGCTCAGAATAGTGCCGTCGATCATGTTTTAAATTACGAGCATATATACAAAAATAACAGAGTACATGAACAAAAACAGCGTTATTTTTTGCTAAAATGTTTTGACTTATTACATGATTCTGGTCCCAAAATATGCATTTTTGACAAAGTTCCGTAGAATAAAGAAAAGGAAAATTCAATAATAAATAAACAACAAAACTATAGTATGTGACCCAACCTGGATCCATTTCGAAACGTTAGCGATAATCAAAAATAAGTGTATCCTTCTGATTAGATACCCGAACGCGCATTATTTAAGAATAAAGAAGTCCAAATCAGTAAGTTTATTTTCAATTTACATTTATTAAATATATAGTTCTATAATGTGGCCCGATCTTCTAAACATATTTATTACTCTTAGAAATTACGACCACGCAGTTAAAAAGAAAAAAATTACTTATGCTTATGATGTCGGTACTTCTTACACTCTTCATAATTACTTCCCTTGTTAACAAACTTTCTCAACAAGCAGTGTTGACCCATGGATTTAACAATAACTATATTACGGCACAAATTCTTCATGGAAAAAAAAAATGCGATGGGCGTTTTTATTTCTTTACGTGTCTCATCCAAAGTTACCTGCAGGGAGTCTGGCTTGTACGTGATTTACTTTCTTTCCCACGCCCTCTATTAAGTGAATGTGCAGTTTTGGGCGATTGTTTCACGATTCTTTCATGCGCTTGAAAATGGAATGAAGTTCGTGAATATGAATAGTTCGAAGCTGCCGCTGTCCACAATGGGTGCCCATAATATTTGATGCAAAGAATAAAAGAATGTAGGCTCCTTTTCTTTGCATGTTTAGCTTTTGGAAATTTGAAGCGCCCCCTACCGGACTATTAATTCAAAAGGTGAGGTACGAGATTGCATTGCGCGTGTTAAATGTTCAAATACCAGTATATTTTACAAGACTCCACAACAATAAAGATGAAACAGCATTACTCAGACAAATATTCTTGATAACTGCCTAGCCGTTTTGATTTTATTCAAAAACTCCTACGATTGTACTGACTTTAAGTTAAAAAAGATACATCAGGTCATGTATATACACTGTATAATTATATCTGAATAACAAAAAAGTTAAACTAAAAGTAAGCCTAAAACGTATTCGATACGCTGGGAAACATGCAATTTCAGGGCATGTTATCCCTAATTCAGAAATGGAACGCGGTTTATCCTTGAGAAACGTTTGGAGAATTTATCCTTAAACGTAAAATATATTTTACTAAATTAATGTTTATTGCAGAACATTATTTTCAAATCGTCTTTTTTTTCTAATGTTATCCAAAACCTTAACGAAATATTTTTGTGTCCAAACGACCTTCTGGAAATCTTCTCATTTACCTGTTGTTTGATGTACATGTGAGAAACAGCATTCTGTGAAGTTATCGAATTAAATTATTTATCGGTGAAATAAAGTGCTAGTACGAAAAAATAATCCTTTGTGATAATATGCTTCGTTTCACCAGCAACGCTAAAAATCGGGTTTCGATACTCGTGGTAGGCAGAGTAAAGATAACAAATTATGTAGCTTTGGGCTTAACAGCAAACAAACATTACACATGTGACCTGCATTTATACAGAAAATTGTATGTTTGTTGTTAAGCTTACATTTACAATAGGCTATTTGTGTTTTGCCCATCGCAGGGATCCACACCCGAATTTTAGTGTTATAAGCCCGCGAGATTATAACTGAGCCTCCTGGGGGGGGGGCGTAATTCTTAAAAATTAAATACACCAGACCATAGAGAGCTTGTCGTCACAATTGCTTCGGTAACCTAGAAACTGAGACGTTATAAATGCATAAGCAACCTGGAAATCTAACGGGGCTACAATGGTAGGCAACAGACTGGAAACCTAACTTCTATGAGTGCAACGACATGCTAGAAACTAGACTTCCATGAATGGGTCGACAATCACGATATTTGACGGCCATAAGTGTATAAACAATATGTTTGTATGTTTTGAATTTCGCGCAAAGCTACACGAGGGCTATCTGCGCTAGCCGTCCCTAATTTAGCAGTGTAAGACTAGAGGGAAGGCAGCTATTCATCACCACCCACTGCCAACTCTTGGGCTACTCTTTTACCAACGAATAGTGGGATTGACCGTCACATTATAACGCCCCCACGGCTGAAAGGGCGAGCATGTTTGGTGGGAAGGGGATTCGAACCCGCGACCCTCAGATTGCGAGTCGAGCGCCCTAACCACCTGGCCATGCCGGGCCTTATAAACAATATGAATACTGGCTGGAATAAGCGCTTCGTTTGTTTCCAAATTTCGCACAAATCTAAAAAAAGAGCTATCTGATTATATCCACCACCAATTTTTAACAGAGGGGGGAGGCAGCTTGTTAAAGAACTCTATCGCCAACGCTTGAACTATTTTTGTCTCCTCGAATAGTGGGATTTAACGTCAGTCTTAAGGCGCACCAACAGACTTACAGTGCAGAGAGAACTTTTTTTGCGTCAACAGATCGCGAATAGTGAATCTTCAAATTCACAGTCAGGATACCTATAACTATTGGTCCACGCCCGGCCCACTATAATAAGTGCACCAACATACTAATCCGTTATAAGTGTGTCATGATACCGTAAACTTGACCGCTTCGAGTTCGTCAATAATTTGCAGATATAGCTCCAAATGGATTAAACAATATTGAAATTCTGTTGTTTCAAGTGCACAAACCACCTGTAAACATGCCTGTTACAAGTCAGTCAATCAACATCATGGAAACATAGCAGCTACAAGTACGTGAATTTTTTGGAAACAGTCATAATGGATGCATCTAAAAATTCTAAAAAGTTGTGTAAAGGTGCATCTGCGTGGATTTGCCCTTGTCTAGGGTTACTGATGAGGTTTGGAAATCCCCGAAACCTGTATAACTCAGTGACAAGTGGTGAATATAGAATGAGCACATAAGCAGCCAACTAGAACCAACATATACTGTATTTATTGATGTAAACATTTCGCGTTAAGTGGAATCAAATATTATTTTTCTGTATCCATCATTTATTCGTCGGGGCGTAGCCTGGAGGTTAGCGTGCCGGACTGCGGATTAGAAGTTTCAAGATTCATGTCGCGATGCTGCCGAACATGCTACGCATTTCCAGATGCGTGGGCCTTATAACAGTGACAGTCAATCCAGCATTCGATTAAAAATAGTTGTGTAGGCGGCTAATGCCGCTGACTCGTTTCCTTCCCTTTGGTCAGCAATGCCCGAATCTTAACCAATGTATTGTATACGGTGCTGTTGAAGTTGAAAATACCAATAAATTATTACGTCTGTAAAAAACGATAACACACCTTATAAATTATAACAACATAAAATTTCAGGCCATTAATACGACGTGTGATTTTAATTATTTTTTTATTTCATTTAATTATTTAATGCACAAGTTCTGTGGTTCTGCACATACAATAACGCTTTTTCAATTTTCTACATATTTAAGAAATGATAACTTAATCTTCATTATAAAGAAACATCTCTATCAAAGTATTTTTTCTTCGTTCACACTAAGTGTTGTGTGTATGCGTGTGTTTTCAGGTCTTATCTTCGGTAATTTCCCTGTAAAAAGAAAATAAATACATAGGCGCTAACGAACGTCAACATCACACAAAACCACCTATGGCAAAATCCACTACAGGTGTATAAAAAGTCTCAGGCCAGGCCAAACTGTGTACAGCGTGCCACCGCAAAGCACGTGACTGACTTGACTTCGCGGTTTTCCTATTTCTGCACTATTAGTTATACAACTTATAATCATAATTTGTAAACAAAATATCCATACCATGTACAAACGTAGAAATATAAGAATTCAAAAATTAATCAATCATAAAACTTCTGGTGCTAGAAGTACTAGTTATATATGAACAAATCAATTGTATGTTTTGATTTCATTGGTTAATCCAATCGAAAAAAAAGGTATGTTTTGATTTCATTGGTTAATCCAATCGAAAAAAAGGACGGACTGTTTTATTCGTTTTTTATTTCCCAGCACTGAATGAATTGATGTCTTAATTAAGTTTAGAACCATTGAGGACACATTTCAGCACTAATAGAACTAAGTAACAGATCTTTAATTTATATATTCAATGTTTTCCCCTTTAACTTCAGTGTTTATTCTTCGTTAAATACACTCGTCACTTTTTCTTATCGCTAACTTAAAATGTATTTTAAGGGAATATGAATAAAAAAGTTCAGGATTGAATAATAATACAGTATTGTCGAGTTAGACTTAATAACTCGATATTCAGTACAATTATTCTTAAGCTGGTTTGTTTGTTGTTAAGCGCAAAGCTATGTAATGGGCTATCCGTGCTCTTCCCACCACTGGTATTGAACCACGATTTTTTTTTTAAGTACTCAAACCTACAAATGAGTCACCGAAGGGGGGGATTCTTAGGCTCAGAAAGTCAGTATGTCAGGATTAACTTACGTAGCATAGTGTTGGTTTATCCTTGCTTTTTCTTCTACAGCTTCTAAGCCCCATATACTTATTTGAAATAGTTTCAACTTTTGAACTCCATGTTATCAGTTGAAAAATTGTAATGGACCTATAAAGTAATTTTAAATCCCAAAATACTTGTAACTTAAACACTATAGTAAATATATTTATTACTACCTCTTACTAAGTGAACCTGCATGACCTGCACGGGGTTTACATTACAATACAAATTCAAGAACACACAAGGTCTACATTACAGCACAAAATCAAGTAGAACACAGAAAAAAAACAACTTCGTAATAGGCTTACTATATAATACAAGAGAAAGAAAATACAGGGAGCTAAAAACATTCATCTAGTGTTCATTACACTGAGAATCAGATAAACATTTTGCGCCATCTAGCGGTTATTATAAAATAAAACTATCAGACTAATACCAAC